CACTCTGTGACCAGCTTTGACTACCTCTGCTGGCATTTCTTTTCTTTCTCCCCACAAGCATTCCAAGTTTCTAGTCCTCATTGTGAACTTCTCCAGCCCTTTGCAGCTTGCTACGCCTTCACCCATCTTCTGGGAAGATGCCGCAGAGAAAAAGAAGGCCCCGATTCTGATCAATCCCGGGGTGTGTGAAGAAGGGTGGCTTTTTTCAAGAGGCAGAGTCTGCGCTCTTTCCCGTTCTCCGTAAAATGCATCCGCTACGGAACACAGACCGGATTCTTGGTCTTCGTGGCCGAACCCCGTGGGCTCAAAGAACAGCAGTCGCCCTCTACCTTCAGAATTTTATTATGAAATAAAATTTTAGGTTCTTGAACCTTCTTTCAGTAGATTAGGGGCTATCCCAGAGTCCTAATTAATGTTCACAACAACCCTGCGAGGTAGCTCGGGAGAGAAATTCCAGGTGAATAGAGGAATAGGAGAGGAGGAAGGAAAGGAAAAAAATTTTATGCCTCTCTCAATCCCTTGCTTTGCTTCGTTACAGAAGCGGCTCCATTGTTATCGTATCGTCTATTGCTGGATATACGCCACTTCCAGTGAGTTGAGCGCATCTTTTCTAATTATTTTGCGTGCCTCGTGATGTGTCTGAAGATGAAATAAAAGAATTAGGCAGGGAAGAACAGCATTTCTTCCGCCTTGGCCCTGAATATGAGCCAGCTGTGTTACGCGGCTGCAAAAAAGGCAAATGCAATTTCCGGCTGCATCAACAGAAGTTGATTTTCAAAATCATGGGAAGTAAATCATTCCCCTCTATTCTGCACTGGCCAGAGCCCTCCTGAGCATCGCAGTTTAAGAAGTATTCAGAGAAATTAGCCTAGACTCAGAGAGGGGCAAGTAACCAGGATGATCAAAAGAAAAGACAAAATTCTGCAAAGAGAGATGTAAGGAGCAAGGCCTGTTTAGTTTTGAGATCAGTCTGGGGGATGGGACGGGGGGTCAAAAAAGTCAAGCTGGCTCTTGAGGGTACCCCTGATTCTGCTTGCTTCTTTTCTTCTCTGGTAGGGCCTAGGGCCTTACAACGTCAGCAAGACAGCTCTCTTGGGCTTGACTCACAACCTCGCCATTGAACTGGCTTCCCGCAATATCCGCGTCAACTGTCTGGCGCCCGGCCTGATCCGCACGAAATTCAGCTCGGCCGTGAGTACCTGCAGGCGGGAAGATCTGCTTTTCCTTCTAGGGCAGTGTGTCTCAACCTTGGCCCCTTTAAGATGGGTGGACTTCAACTCCCAGAATTCCCCAGCCAGCCATGCTGGCTGGGGAATTCTGGGAGTTGAAGTCCACCCATCTTAAAGGGGCCAAGGTTGAGAAACACTGCTCTTAAAAGTTGAGTAGCAAAACAACCTAGGATAAGTTCTTTCTTGAACTGGTGCCCAAAGCCGAACCAAACTTGAAAAAGTTGTGTTAGTTTTATAAACACTCATTATTCTCTGTCATCATCACCGCCAATCAGTTGCTCCTTATTCGGGACGATGGGCTTGCTACCCCCAGAAATGAGAAGGAACAGAGCAGGTCAACTCAACTTACGGCTGTTTTCTCTTCCTAGTTATGGCAGGATGAAAACTCAGAGGCCAGAATACTGGAAGCCCTGCGGATAAAGAGGTAACTTCTAATAAATCGGAGCTCTCCAGGAAAACGATGGGTCAGTGGTCTGACTCGATAAAGTTGCAACAAACTTTGGCTTTTCTTTTTGGGGGGGGGGGATACCTTGAAATTGGCAGGCAGATTCTGAGGTGGTTTGGAAGGCCTCCCCCATCTCCCTTTCTGGCAAATGTGGTCCACGGCTCTCTAGCTAGCTATTTATTTTTAAATTTATTTTATTTTATTCTTTTGCTTGTATGTATGTGTGTGTGTGTGTGTGTATTTAATTAAAAGTTTTCAATACAATAAAAGTATAGAAAAGAATTTGAAAGAAAAAAGAAGAGAAAAAGAACGTCCTTTTGATTCAGGAGCTCAAGACAGTAGACGTAGTCCTGCTTCCTCCTGTTTCCCCCCCAACAGCCCTGCAAGGTAGGTTGGGAAGACAGAGTGACTGGCCCAAAGTCACCCTGGAAGCTGCCGTGGCTGAGAGTAGACCTGAACTTGGGTGTCCTGCTCCGAATACGACACCTTAACCACTGTACCCCACTGCCCTTCCCTCCTTGAACCCCAGACAGAGCTGGGCTAGCCAGATCAGCTGTTAAACTCGCCATGCAGCCCACCTTTCCTGACCCAGTGGCCTGCAGAAAAGGCCATACCTGCTGAGGATGATGGGAGTTGTAATCAACGCATCTGAAGACCACCAGGCTCCAGCCTGTTCTGTATTTCCAAGGAGCTTCTGCCTTTGTCTGATAAGGGGTCTCTCCAGATACCCCCTGGATGTTAACATTAATGTCTCAGGCAGCCAGGATTGCCCTCACCGAAAGCCTGGACTTTGTAGTCCTTCCAGGCTGGAAGGAGCTAATGGTCAGCTGATCAAGCCCAGGAACGGTTATCACGCAGCTTAAGGAATCTGGGATGCGGAGTAAATCCCACCGTTGGAAGAATTTATGGGAAATATGGGTGTACCTTGTACCCTTGTAAACGCGGCCGTGACGGGGAGGAAGAAAGGAAAAGCTCCGTCGTGGAGCATCAACCCCTTGTAGGAAGCTGAGTGAGTTCCAGATGTTTCAACAGCTGCACTGAAAGCCTTTGGCACCAAAAATTCCTGCCTCCGGTTCGCCAACCCAATTATCTTACGCCCAGCCCACCTCACAGGGTTGTTGTGGCGGGGAAAATAGGAGGCAATATGAGTTGCACAAAATAAAGGCAGGATATACACGTTAAGACATAACCCTTAATTAAATGCATAAATAATGTGAGCAGATCACGGCCAGCTCCCCTGTAAAATTTTCTGTCCAGTCAATATGCATTGCTGTCTCTCAAGCAGCCTTGGAGAATATTCTTCTTTTTTAATTGGTTATATCTGTACAGACATATATCTGTATTTTCTTTTTCTTTTTTTAATTTTAAAGAACTCTTTAAAGAGTGTTGTTTAAAAGACTTAAAGAGATGTAAAAAGAGATAAAAGATACATTAAAAGAACAGAAGGGTGAAGTCCAAATAGTAAGACAGAAATAGGTATAGGTGGGATCTACAAGATCAAGGAGATTACAGGGGGTTTTTTTCAATATATCGTTTGCGCTTTAGAAAATGAGGAAATGTTTTGTATCCCTTTTTAAAGGAAAAGCTAAACATCTCTTAGCTTTAACACAGTATAAACCACTAACTAAATTATAAGCTATAATAAATGAGATCAGTCCTTAAAATCTTAATTTCCCATGAAATTGAAACATAGGCTTTATACCTAGAAAAACCTAAATTTGGGGGTTAGTATAAATCCATGTATTAAATGATAGCCCAGGAATGGTTTCTGGTTAAAATTGAGTTTTCTATTCTGTCTTGCTAAATGAACAATCATCTAGGACGGTGTTTTTCAACCTTGGCAACGTTAAGATGCGTGGACTTCAACTCCCAGAATTCCCCAGCCAGCATG